GGGCTAATGCTCTATCCACTGAGCAAAACAGGCTGCAGCTTAATTCATTTACTTTTAATCTATATTTGTCTTTATATTTAAAGTGGGTTTTGTTTTTGATTCACCCTCATAATCTGTCTTTTAATTGGTGCATTTATGCCACTGACTTTCAGAGTGCTTACTGATAGAGTTACTGCCATATCTGGCGGCTTCTGGGGCTTCTGGGGCCTGTCAGCGGCCTGGGACCGATCCGGTCCCGGGCGGCAGGCAGGCGGCTCCTGGTGTCACCCACGGGAGCCTGGATGGTGGCTTGAGCTGGTGGCTTGTGCTGTCCCTCCCTGCAGTATGCAAATTAGCCACCATCTGTGTTGGCGGTTAATTTGCATACCTCGCTAATTAGCCAATGGGAGGTGTAATGAAGGTACGGTCAATTACCATGTTTGGCTATTATTAGATAGGATATGTCAATTACATCTCAATTAAAAAGAAAGAAAACGGCCAACACAGAGCAGGGAGGAATATATTTCCAGTGTCACTTGTTTCTGGGAATACTAACACATTGGGACCCGGTAGAAAGCAAAGTCTCCTCCTGCCACAGCCACAGGTTAAAAATAATTACGTGTCCTAATCCATGGGCTAAGAAAGAGCTTTCAGTGAGTTGGGATATGGGCTCCATCTTAAGGTTGGGCTGGGTTGTTCTGATGGAGGTCAGCTGGCTGGGTTTGTTCTGCTGGAGGCCAGCTCTCGGTGTTTACTCTCTGCCAAATACTGGAAGAGGTTGCATCATGCAACCTCCCAGGCGTCCCTCCCTCCTCTTAGCAATGGCTAATGCTTCACTAGCCTTTGCAGATGAATTGGCTGCAGAGGAGAAAGGTTGAGCTGGGCCAAAAGGAGGAGCTTAAACCTGTGTGTAAAATCTGGGAACCTGATTGAACATAGGTTGGGGGCCAGGATGAGGGGGGAAAAGAGATGGGAAAGACTTCCCCCACCTCCCGGTAAGAAGATCCCGTGATCAGCTTCAGCCACTGGCAGGCAGTCCTGGTCATCCTCAGAGTTTACATAAAGGGACTGTTGAAGCCCAAGAGGCCACAGTGCTGATACAGGGCTCCCGGACATCATGCATTGGTCCTTGCACCCCCGGAGTTTAATTCTCTACTTCTACACTCTTTTATTCCTGTCTTCAACATGCCTAGCAGTAAGTATGCTTCTCCACAGACATATTTGTTTTACATGGAAAGCTGAAAAGTAAGAAAATATATGATAAACTAGTGAAATTTCTGTATTTTTCTCCTCTAGTTTGTTCCCCCCACAGACAACTGCTGCATCTCAGATAAAAGATTTGTAAGTAATTTTTATGGTTTGTTTGTTTGTTTGTTTCTGCTGTATGTAGATTGCAGAGAGGCAGAGGAATAAAAGGAATTCTCTTACAAACATTTGGCATTTTAAACTCTGTTGTTTTTTTTTAACGTAGTCTAGCTTTTACCTATTTTTATTCATAGATTGTTAAGTGTGGCTTTCATCAAGATTTTAAATCACTCTGTTGTTGTATTTTCAGGGTCGTTACTGCCCGACTACATGTGGCATTGCAGATTTCTTGCTTAATTACCAAACCGAAGTAGACCAGGATCTACAGTCTGTGGAAGAAACCTTACGTAAAATCAAAAACAACACATCAGAAGCCAAAGAACTGATCAAACAAATCCAAAGCGTCGATAATCCTGATGGCCTACCGAAGTCAGGTGAGGAACTAAATACCACTGACTGAGAAGATAATTTGTAAAGTTCTTGTGCTGTTGTTTCACTGGTTCCATTTGCCTAAACATTTCTGTCTCTGATCTCATATTACAGATAAGATAGAAGCTGCTGTTAAGGAATCTCAGAAAATGATGGAAGATATTATAAAATTTGAAGCATTGATTATATCACATGAATCAAGTATTCGGTAAGCATTTTTGTTGTTGTTGTTGTTAATCCTCACCCAAGGATATTTTTTCAATTGTTCTTTAGAGAGAGTGGAAGGGAGGGAGGTGAGGGGAAGAAAGAGAGAGAGAGAGAGAGAGAGAGAAAGATAGAGACAGAAACATCAATGTGATAGAGACACATTGATTAGTTGCCTCCTACACACACCCCAACTGGGACTGGGGATCAAACCTGCAACCCTTCCGTGCGCAGGCTGCCACTGTAACCACTGAGCTACACCAGCCAGGGTGCATTTTCGTTTTAACTTACTCTCCAAGAGTGATTTGGGTTTTACTTAATATTGCAAACTTCAGTGGAATTAACTTTTTCCCCACTTTTGATATTTAATTGTCATTATGCCTGGCCATCTGGAACTCAGTGGAGATAGCATCTTGAGTGCAATATGTGTTGCACTGGGTTATAATTGCTTTTTAATAATCATGTGGGAGAAAGGTGTTCTAGATGTCTTCAAATACTGCTATGGCCCCATTTATGAAAATGATCCCTCATCCCCGTTTGTCTTACACCACAAATTCAAATGGGGATTTGGGTGTGGAAACTAAGAATCTCTTTATAAGATTGTCAACAAATTGGTGGGAGGTGATAGCAAGCAGAGGCATAGGAAGGGTATAGGAAAAGTTAAGAGACTAAGTGTAACAAACATTACAAAGCTATGTGCTGATCACGGCACAGTGACTGTGCCATTATGTTCTCTCCTCCCTTCCCTTGAAGGTAAAATGTCTCTATTAATAACTTCCCAGGGACTCATTAACTTCCTGAACTCAGGATCTCATATACAGTTTTAGTTTTTTTCCTCAAAAGAAAATTTTTTTTAACTAAACTGTGTTCAAAGTAGCATAAAAAATAGTGATAAATGGTGGCTAGGGAGACGTGGGCAGGAGAGATTTCTCCTCTTTCTGTTACCAGAGGGCCATAATTACTGTTGTTGTATAATTTATAAGTTACACTAGTATTGCCCATCATTGAAGTTAAAGAGACTATTGTGCAGAAATTTTCTAAGGTGCAGTAAAGAAAAAGAGTGGTTGGGTACTTTTTCTATCTTTCTTCACCAAAAGATACACCAGGCTGTGCACTGTAGACCGTGTTCTACCATTCCTGAATATGCACAGACAAGCCTGTGAACAACTACAAAAGCAGGATTTTTCACTTCCCCCAGCCTTTTTCCAAAGATCTGTAAATAGAAACATTGAGAAGGTCAGGAAGTGTCTGTTGTTCTATTATATATATGTAAGATAACACCCCAAATACTTTCTCCATGTAAGTTATAGATTGTAGACCTCAAATAGTCCTCAGTAGGTCACAGTGGAAAGCATAATTCATCACATGCGAATCCCTGAACAGAGCCTTTTCTTCCCTAAGAATATCCAGTCCTAAGAATGATCCTCAGACAGTCCTCCCGTTAACCAGGCTCTTCACTCCATTAGGTCGTTATCTGCTGCCCTTGATACAGATGGTAAAAATCAGAATGGCCACTGTTTAATGACAATGGCATTGCTTAAGGACAAGAACTTTATTATTTTCTTTTCCAGAAAGCTTAGAATTTTAATTCGCCTCAATTAAGTAACAGAATTTTACAGTTTTCCCAAGAAATGGAGTCATTTATCAGGAAGTAATTCTCAAAAAGATAAGGTAGTATTTTTAAATGAAAATACAAAATTACATCTCTGAAGGGTATGCTCTATTATCTTATTCTTCCGCTTGTAGATTTTTGAAGGACATATATAATTCAAATAATCAGAAGATCGCTACCTTAAAACAGAAAGTAGTCCAGCTTGAAGCAAAGTGTCAAGAGCCTTGCAAAGACACAGTCAAAATACACGATATAACAGGGAGAGGTAAGTGACACTTTGATGTGGGGATTAATGTATAAAGCAAAAGAGATTTCATCTTTTAGAATGCATAGGAATAATTTTGAAGGTGCTTAGCCATTGAGTCTAATTGTATCCAATTGCTCGGACTTTGCTTAAGTAGCTAAAAATAGTTTGAAAGGAATGATGATGTGAGAAGTAAGACAATGCTTTGCGGGAAATGAATAGTTTACAACTTGCTAAAAGCCCATGTTCCAGGCTGGAACAGTCTTACCTGGATTTCAGACCACAGTATAGGCTTCTTCGTCTTCTTCAGATTGTCAAGATATTGCCAATAAGGGAGGCAAAGAGAGTGGGCTTTACTTTATCAAACCTCTGACAACTCAGCAGCAGTTCCTAGTCTACTGTGAAATGGAAAAAAATGGAAATGGATGGACTGTGCTTCAGAAGGTATGTCCCCCCTCACCCTGTGTGTTTAATAAACACTCAAATAAGCATCAGCCTTAGGCTGGATACTTTTCTAAGCACCTTGTGAACATCAACTCCATGAATCCGCACACCTTCCCTGTGGGGTTGGTACAATTATTACCTCTATTTACAGAGGAGGAAACTTAGGCACCAGAGGTAAAGTCACTTACCCAAGATCACAAAACTAACTAGTAAGTAACAGAGTCAGGATTGGAACCCAGGCGGTCTTATTTCAGAGTCTGTGCTTTGACTGGATACTGTGCTGGCACTGCCATTGTCGACATGTGATAGCACGTAGTCACAGGATCATAGTGACAAAAAGCCCCACAGAGAGTAGGAAAAAGTTATTGAAGTTGAAATCTTAAATTGTAAAAACCACCACTGAGTGTCAAAAGTTATAAAAGCAGAACTCATTTTGTGCAATGAACATAAGGAAAGACTACTGTATAGCTTTTTGTTTTGTTTTTGTTTTGTTTCTTTTAAATGAAGAAAAGCTTTGCTTAAGGGTTGCATACTTTACTGGAGTAAATCTGAATGATCCTACTCCTTTGGAACAAACTTAGTGCTTTCTGGTTTCCAATTGTATTTAGCTTTGGGTTGGAATTTGAAAAAATGAAAACCTAAATAAAATAGGTGAAGTTTCCTGACTATTCAGGTGAATACACACACACACACACACACACACACACACACACACACACGCACAGCCCCACAGGAAACCGGAAGGGTCTTGTTTCATCAGTTAGATCAAGACCTACAGCTCCCAGTTAAACACAGATACAGTCCCACAGAGGATTCCGTTGGGCTGTTCCCAGGCAAGGGCCCTTTGTTTCCTCTCTGCCAGTCCCTGGCAGTTGCCGCAATCCTTCTCTCTGTTTACCTCTGACCACTTTTACGAGTAATCCTGCAGGGGGCGCTCAGAGGGCGTGGGGGGGGTGTGGAGGGAAGTGCTGGTTGGCAAACAAACTGAGCAATGAGTTGACCTTTCCACCATCAGTACAAGAATCAGCAGTGACCCGCTGGAGTTCTGAAGTCCTCTAGGTGTCTTTTAAAAACTACCACTAATCTAGAATTGTGCCTTTCGCTCTTTAAGTATTTCTCCAACATTCCCTCGTGTAATCCCTGCAATAACTCTAGAAGTAAGGATCATTATTCTTATTTGACAGATGAGGAATCTGAGGCAGCTTGACCAAGGTCATCTAGTTAGTAAATGATGGGATCAGACCCTCCATATTTTCAACAAATGTTTATACCGTTTTCTTTATGTGCACTGATAATCTGTTCTCTCCTTTTCCCTGTGCATGTGTGTAATTAGAGGCTTGATGGCAGTGAGGATTTCAAGAAAAACTGGATCCAATACAAAGAAGGGTTTGGACATCTGTCTCCTACGGGCACCACAGAATTTTGGCTGGGGAATGAGAAGATGCATTTGATAACCACACAGTCTGCCATCCCATATGTATTAAGAGTGGAGTTAGAGGACTGGACTGGCAGAATCGCGTACGTTTAGAAAAGACTTTGTGTTGTCTAGAATGTGCATTTTCCAACCATCAACAGACCAATGGCAGAGACAGCTTCATAAATGCAAAGAACACATCCAGCCATTTCCTCCACAAGTCATTTTGGTTCTTGGGCAGCCCAAAGAGATGGGTCCCCTCCAGGCTGGATCTGAGTATTTTGGTACAATCTACTTACCCCGGAACCACACAGAATCATTGCTGATATTTACTGAGCATTTAATATTTAATAGAAATCGAGCATGAAATTATAATTTGATCTAGTCCTAATAACTCTTTCATGAGGCAGGTAATATTGTTAATTCCAGGTTAACTTTCCCAAGGTCACATTGCTGGTATACGGTAAAGATTGGATTTGAACTAAAGTAGTTTGACTCTACAGATCATCTTAAGACTATGCTGGTTGAAAAGCCAATCCAACCTCTTCAGATTTCCTGGCTGAAATTAAATCAGCTAGCTCTTTTGGTGAGATAGAGCCCCTCTATGCTCAGAGCTATCTGGGGGCTTTGAGCATTCATTATACACCTAATTAAAATTCAGAGAAATATCCAACCCTCTTTTTATGTCTATGAAATAATGAAATATGTTTTATATCCAAACATGTATTTTTATTTATTTAATTTTCACCCAGAAAGTACCATAGACTTGCTCCTGTGAGAATATCTCCAGTTTCACAAGTACTGGAGATCAGTGATTTTCTGGAAATCTCTGTTCATATACTATGGCTCATTCTTCCATGCACTCCATAGAGTTCTGGCCCTCACTCATATTTTATTTTCAGGGGAGAACTTCTCTCTGATCCCCCAGCTCATGTTTTGTGGGCCACACAGGGACCATTTCTTTTATGTGATGCTCTAGGAAGCCATCCTTATTGCCACGACCACATTGCCTTAGGACAGAAAAATCCCACAGGACCTCACCCTTCAGATTGAACAGCTAAAGGGGGTGTAGTTCCTTTGGTGCACTGACGGTCATGCACTGTCAGCTAATTACTGTGGTTTCTGATGACTGTATGAACAATGCTAACCATTTAGATAAAAGTGAAAATATAAAACTAATCAGATTCATCCACACATGTGGATTTGATATTAGGATCCTATAGGCTTCTAGACCCATCCTGGGTGGTGCTGATGAGCACTGAACTGGTTCATACAGCCATTGCCTCTTATCAAATTTGCAGAAGAGTTCATTCAATGAACACATTTGAGATTTAAGAAGCAAACAACTGTTCTATAGGAGAGGGACCTTTTGAGATCCCCATTGAGGCTCAAGATATGATATCTCTATTTCTTTATAGTACTGCAGACTATGCCATGTTCAGTGTGGGGAATGAAGCTGACAAATACCGCCTGAAGTATGCCTACTTCATGAGTGGAGATGCTGGAGATGCCTTTGATGGCTTTGATTTTGGCGATGATCCTAGTGACAAGTTTTTCACATCCCACAATGGCATGCAGTTCAGTACCTGGGACAATGACAACGATAAGTTTGATGGTAACTGTGCTGAACAGGATGGATCTGGCTGGTGGATGAACAAGTGTCATGCTGGCCACCTCAATGGAGTTTATTACCAAGGTATGGCTTTCTTCCTTACTTATATGACTTAGTATGCAGTCTATATTTTAATAAAAGGTATAAATAGATTTAAGGACATGAGAAATAATTAGTAATTATATTAGGGGGCTTATTATATAGTTCTATTTTTAAATAATAAATTTATAATGTATTACAACACAAATAAGTATTTTCAGTATAAAAATTGCATTTGCACAAAGAAGCTATATAGTAACAAATGCAATTACACTACACTGGAAGCATGTCAAAGGTGAGTGAGTGCCACATATACAGTGTCACAATTCACATGACACTTTACTAAGAATAAACTATCTCAAGGCCATGTCCTGGTCTGAAGCTGTCATAGGCCTTTCAATTGAACTTCCTGGTTCAGGAAAGTATTCAAAAACTGTCGGAGGTTCATCAGAGTTGATGACTCCACGTTCGGTTTTTCAAGATAAACTATAATCCTCAAGAGGACCAAAACATAGGACTGAGGTAAAGAGATACTAAACAATGAACTTTTCTGTTGACACAAAATATTTACATGAATGCTTTCCAAAATGTTGTTATATTTAACAGGATGGGTCTATCACACATTTATAACACTGGCAGAAATAACACTTCAACACTGAAATAAAGGACAAAAAGTCATACATTAACAAGAGTATCAATCTCCTTTCTTTCTCTCACTTCATGCCAATTTAGTTCTTGATATTAAATCACAATTGAATAATACTGTGATTATACCTCAAATTGGTCCCTCAACAAGAAATCCACCTGCTGTAAAATAGCCAGTGGTTTGTCATTGCGTCTGAAATTACCACCATCAGAGTTGACATTTTGGGTTATGGTATCTCCTCCAAATTTACATATATATGATCTGGATGGACCAACATTACCATATTTATGCTTGTTAACACATTAGCTTGTGTCAGCTGAGCGGTGTATCAGATATAACCAATGAGCAGTAAGCCAGTGTCTGGGGGAATGGAGTAAAGAGCTTGAAATTGTTTGAAAGGGTAGGGGTCCATGGAAACTTGAGAGAAGAGTCCAGCCTATGAGTCTAGACACTTACTTTAGGATGGGAGAAGGCAAGCTATAGTTTGCTCTAAGGCTGGGGTAGTTATGAACACTGATTTTACTTACTAACTGTTGTTACTACCCAACAGTTTTGTGTGGGGAAGCTCTACTGATGCAATAAGATCCATTAAGATGAGCAATCTTACCTCCTCATGGCATTGTCCTAGCCAATAGATGGCTTAAATTCCTCTTTAAAATGATTTACATTTACCTTTTGGTCTTCACAACATTTTGTAAAAATATTTTTCTTATTGATTTCAGAGAGGAAGGGAGAGGGAGAGAGAGATAGAAACATCAATGATGAGAGAGCATCATTGATTGGCTGCCTCCTGCATGCCCCACACTGGGGGATCAAGCTGGCAACCCTGGCATGGGCCCTGACTGGGAATTGAACTGTGATCTCCTGCTTCATAAGTCAACACTCAATCACTGAGCCACGCCAGCCAGGCTTCACAACATTAAAAACAAAACAAAACACCTAATTACCAGCTTGGGTCAAATATTCTCTTAGGAAATTACATGAGAACTGGTGCTTATGGACAAGGAGAAGGCAAATCAACCTAATCTCCACTTTCTAATGGGGATGTTAAATAACATTCCAGACTATTTTCTAAAGTCCCTCATACTTTCCAGTACAATTGTGTTTTCAGATAACTTGCGATCATCTGATCAGGAACTGTGATTCTTGCCGTTCTAACCTCCTTGAAGAAAGATGGTCCATAATGGCTGAGTCCAGGATGACTAAGCTCAGGGAAAGACACCAATTGGGGAACCTGGGATTCTAGCCCTGTTAATAGTGAATATATTTAAAGTGTGAATGTGACCAGAAAGTACAACACAGATGTAAGGGATCCTATATAATAAAAGGCTTATATGCAAATCAACCGAACAGGGAACGATAGGTTGATATGACGCACATTGACCACCAAGGGGCAGACACTCAATGCAGGAGCTGCCCCCTGATGGTCAGTGTGCTCCCACAGGGGGAGGGCCTCTCAGCCAGAAGCCGGGGTCATGGCTGGCAAGTGCAGCGGTGGTGGTGGGAGCCTCTCCCACCTCTGCTGCAGCGCTAAGGATGTCTGACTGACGGCTTAGGCCCACTCCCCTTGGCTGTCAGTTGGACATCCCCCAAGGGCTCCTGGACTATGAGAGGGTGCAGGCCAAGCTGAGGGACCCCCCCAACTGCTCGAATTTCGTGCACAGGGCCTCTAGTTGTTTAATAATCCATTTATTATAAATATAAATTGAGATTTTAGTGATCTTTAGGGATATTTTCAGTTAGTTGATAACACTATAAATTTGATGTGACAATGGTCATTATAAATGACAGTTCTTTATAGACTCTCTGAGGTAAGGAAATACAAGAGCAATGATATGTCCAATTTGTCTTAGGTGGCACTTACTCAAAGACATCTACGCCAAATGGCTATGATAATGGCATTATTTGGGCCACTTGGAAATCTCGTTGGTATTCCATGAAGAAAACCACCATGAAGATAATTCCATTCAACAGAGTCAACATAGGGGAAGGGCAGCAGCACCACCTTGGGGGATCCAAACAGGTCAGACCAGAGCACCATGTTGAAATAGAAACTAAATAAATCATTTTACTCTGAGAATGAATTTTTCACTTCTATTAACCCACAATGTTTCAGAAACTTTTCTGAAAGTTCTTTCTCATTTTCTCTTACCATATTTATCAATTTTGTCTGATATTAAGGATACTTAGCCTTAAATGGAAATTATAACTTACTTTGGATTGTATTCCCAAATTACTGAGCTTTGAATTATTTAAAATTTATTTATTTGATGAGATAACATTTTAGCATACGTCCTAGGTATATATGAAATAATTGCCACATTTTTTTACATTTTAATGACCACATGTTGTTTTATCTTGGTAATTTTTTAAAATTATGCCTTAAATATTTTAGTACATACTAATAAAATTAGTAAATTTTAGTAAAATTAGGAGTAAATTCTAGCATTTCAAATGCCTAAGTATTTTTCCAAATGTATCACCCCTAATTATTCATATTTAATTCTTTTTAAATGGAGACAATTATATGTTTTTAATATATTTTTGTTTTGGTCATAGGCTGGAGACGTTTAAAAGACCATTTCAAAAGTGAATTTACTTTTTTAAAGGACTTTATCTGAATGATAAATATAATATTTTTCATATGGGACAATGGACTCATAAAGCCATACTTCATTTTAAGAGAAAAAAGAACCCATGTTGAAAACTCCACTAACTGTTTTATGTTGGTGATAATTTATCTACATGCCATTTCAATAAACGTTGTGTTTCCTAAGACTAAATACATGGTGCCATTTATTTCTTTCAATTTAGTAATCATAGTTTGGCAATCATCAGTACTTGCTGAGTCCTCACTTTACACCAAACCTTAAACCTGCCTCTTGGGGAAGTATATGAAAAAATAGAAATCATGGCTTTTGCCCTCCAGGCGATATAAGATAAAGATAGAAAAATACAGTAACTCAACGTGACAAAATTTGATATAAAAATATAAACCCAAGTTGCAATCACATAACTAAGTTTCAGAATCCCCAAAGCATAGCTGGAGACATAAGGCTGTTTGGGAATTCTCCCACTAGAACCTTTGGTTCCAGACTCCTGTGGGCTTTCTGAAAGGACTTGAAATCAGAGCAGAGAAATTTAAGGAACAATCTAAATCAGTCTCTCACTGAGATTCAGCGGATTGGGGCCGCTGAATCATTCTGAATCTAGGAATATTGAGTTAGCAGCCAGAGATTGGGGAGGACCAGCTTTCCGAAAGGAGTAGTTAAATCTACATCAGATTGACCTTGTAAAGTAATTGATTAATTCTAGGAGGGGAGGATCAGGTTGTTCTGAAATCCTGAGCTTTAGCTTTGGATTCTCTTCTTTTCCACAATTTCTTTCCTAATCCTCTTACTCCCTTGTTCTCATGAGTCCTGATTTTAAATATCCTATTGAAATAAAAACAGGAAAGAGACAACCAGGTACTTGTGGGGCTTTGGGAAATAGGAATGCTTATTCACTATTTGCAGCACTCATTAATTCATGTATCCATGAAACATCCATGCAACTAACATTTATTGAATGCTATTGTTGTACTAGCCGTGGTGCTGGATATTGGGGATATAGCGCACCATAGTATTTTCCTCTCTTCCAAAACTGCTCTATTCTATCCAGGTTTCACGTTCCAAAAAAACCATAACTCATCCTCCTGTCTTCCTTATTCCTCCCTCCCCTGGTCATTAAGCCTGTTAAATCTACCTCTTAAAGGTTTATTATATTCATTTCCTTTTATATACACACACACTACCACAGTGGTTCTCAACCTTCCTAATGTCACGACCCTTTAATACAGTTCCTCATGTTGTGGTGACCCCCAATTTCATTGTTACAAATTGAACATAATTAAAGCATAGTGATTAATCACAAAAACAATATGCAATTATATATGTGTTTTCTGATGGTCTTAGGCGACCCCTGTGAAAGGGTCGTTCGACCCCCAAAGGGGTCACGACCCACAGGTTGAGAACCGCTGCTCTACACATTCTAAATGGGATATACAACATCTCTTGCCAGGTTAGGGCAGTTACCTTCTTCCTGCCCCACACAGTGCCTCTAACCTTGCCTGCCCCAACCTTGTCATGCTTCAAACTACTTCTAAACTCAGAGTGCATAGTCTACCCTGCAAACTCCTGTAGGTGAGAAATTTGATCGTAGATAGGCAGAGTTATATAAATAAGTTTTGATGCAACAATACCATGCCAGTGAATTAGGCCAAGAAAATTATTTTTGAAAAAGAAAAGACCATTGACAAGATCTCAGCAATATGAATATAGCCCTATACTTAACAGTGGGAAATTTATAAATTATTTAGCAGTGGAAGAATGCACAAGCAAGTTAGTTTATTAGTACAATGGAATAGAAAACAGTGATTACATAATAAGCATTAAATCTCAGCATGAACATGGAAACATTTATACAATAAGTGAAAATTTAAGGTGAAAAATAATTCTACAATGGTAATATAAAAAGTGTATGTGCATATACATTTTAAACAAAACATAATTTTGACACCTATGCATTATTTGTACATATTTGTTCTCCCCCAACCAATATATAATGTAAAATTTAATAAAAGTACTTAATACAAAATTAATATAAAGGAGTCTAAAAGTTTCTCTCCCCCCACTCCCCCATGGGGTCACTTGTCCAATGCTCCTTCGAAAATATCACTTATAACACTTTTCAAAAACATTTTGGAATTCCCTGTTCTTGTTGGTGTCCTGAGTACATATTTGGTTTGCATGTTGGGTAATCCACATTGACTGGTAAGACAGGCCTTCTAACTTTCTCTTTATACACCCTACTCTGCTCAACTTGGTATAATGAGTACGTATTAATTTTGTAGTTAGTTTAAAAACCCAATGAGGTAGAGAAAAACAGATGAACTTCAGAATTCTACTTGTTTAGTTATTAATGTACAGTGCTAAACATTGAAGGGCTACAGTTTAAGAATTAAAGCATGGGGTATACGTCCAAATGCAAATGGATCATGTCTCCATTATTTTGATAAACCAACTTTTAGAAATCAACTTTTAAGTGAAACAGTTTGGGATCTCAGAGACATAAATTATTTTTCTTCAGAGCGCAAATCACAAATAACTCTTATTCAACCCTCCCTTTTACTTTCTTGACATAAAAAAACAAAACAAAACAAAAAAACACCTCCAGTCACTACTGAGTGCAAATAGGCAAGCTGAGTACAAAGCAATGTGTGCAGTTATATACTTTAAAAAACATACAGAAGGAAGCTTCCAAAAAAGAAGGGGACTGGTACAGATGTACGGATACCATAACTTCGGGTCATGCAGCTACAGGGCAGAGCCCCTTAATCACCAGATAGGAGTAATCATTCATTGGACAAATGTCAAGATTTTCAAATATACCTCCGAAGTGTTATACCTTTTTTTCAATCCTCCTTCTGTTTAGTAGTTACAATATAAAGACACTATTTCAGATTGTGGGTGGGTTGAAAATGAGTGGGAAATGAAGAAATGTAAATATAGACAACATATTTGAGATCTCTACAAGATCTAAAATTCATAGACTCTGACTCTAACCAGTGTAAACTAGCCAAGACATTTACAGTAGGTATCTTTGGTGTATTAAGATGATAAGAGTGAAAAACAAAGTACACATTTAATCCCGAGGAAAATATATCTACCTGCTGATTTCTTATTGGTTTGCTGTAGCCCAAAAAAGGAGGGGAGAAAAAATTAATGATAATCAGATGAATTAAAGAAGATGGAAAATAATGAGTTAGTGACAAAGAGACCAAGAGTATAGGAAAGACTTCCATATAACTTTTTGTGCTCTCTCTCTCTCTCTGCGTGTGTGTGTCCGTCCCTCAGACGTAAATGTTGAGTTAGCCATACTCCTAATTCACCATTCTCATTCATCTGTGCTCAGTTATTCTCTTGATTGATTCTTTTCATTCAAACTTTCATTTCTTCCCTTCTTCCCATAATAAATAATCAGTCCAATGGATTTGATGTGTTTCATTATTTGTATGCATTTTTATAAATTGTAAATTTTTCTTTTGAGCTATGTATTTTTAAATTATATAAATAGCATTGTGCAATAAATCAGTGTTACTCAGAATGCTTGTCCTCAAATTCTTTGTTACTGGTCTACATTAAAATAAAAAAATAATAGAAAATAACCATGTAGGAAGATTTTTCCTAAATTATCTTTGCTCTAATTTATATTTAAATTACATAAAATGTAATTTTATGTCTTTGGAACCTAGTAATAAAAATTTGGGCTTATATTTTTATATAATTTTTAAATTTATTTTTCTAGTAATTAACTTAATTTTATAATCTAATAGTACTTTGATTGGTTAGAAATTTAACAAAACTAGTCCTTTACCACAAATACTTTGAGAAGCACTGTTAAGGTCTTCGTTGTACTTATTCTTGCACTCAGCACTATCCACAATCTGAGTACTTTATAATTTTTCTTGATTTCTTTTTAAACCAAGGATTTTAAAGTGAATATCATTTGGTTCCAAAGCTTGTAGTTCGTAAAACTCTATTTTAAATTAATATCTAAATTTATTGCATTATGGTCAGAGAGCATAAACTCGATTATATTAATTCTTGAGAGAGACATTTCACAAATTATTTAGGGACAGAGAAATTATCAGAATTAATTGATTCCATAAAAGTGTATATAATCATATTCAGTTTCCAATAATTATCTACATAACAGAAGACTATTAATATTTTTCCTCTTATAAGGAAAATGAACAAACTAAAGATGGACAGGTACTTATTAGCCTCCTTGTAAACATGATCTTTGGCCCAAATGTCCGGTAGTCATGGTCAATTATGAACATTAAAAATAGGTTTGATTGCCTGGCCAGGTTGGCCCAGTGGTTGAGTGTCAACCTATGAACCAGGAGGTCCCTGGTTTAATTCCTGGTCAGGACACATGCCCAGGTTGGGGCTCAGTCTCCAGTATGGGGAGTAGAGGAGGCAGTCAATCAATGATTCTCTCTCATCAATGTTTGTATCCCTCTATACTTTCTCCCCATCTCTCAAAATCAGTGAAAACATATTTTAAAAATAGGTTTGATCATTGGCCTATAGAACACTTCTTCGTATCAGGTTTAAAAGCCTTTCGGGAAGGCTGGCTGGCACAATTTCAAGCTCTTGCTCATCTCAGTTCATTGGGAAATATTTGAGTGACAGAAGAATTCAGGATCATGGCATATAATCAAGTCTTCAATTGGATCAAAGATGTGTTTCCCAAATGAAAATCCATTATCCTTGTCCATCACTCTCATCTCCCAGTTCCTCATCTAGGTTTTCATCTACTGGTAACTTAAAAAACACAGTGACCCAAGGTAAATGGGAACCCTCACTAGATAACTTTGAATGTTGACTCTCCCTAAATAAACAGAGTAGGCAGATTGCACTCTGTGTTGAAAGTGGCCTCTTTTAAATCCTCAGGGGCAAATAGTTAAAGTGTGATTTTTAAAAAAAAATTAAAGAAGGAACTCTTACCATTTGCAACAGCATGGATGGAACTGGAGAGCATTATGCTAAGTGAAACAAGCCAGTCAATGAAGGAAAAATACCACATGATCTCACTCATTCATGGATAATAAAGACCATTACAAACTTTTGAACAATAATAGATACAGAGGCAGAGCTGCCTCAAACTGATTGTCAAACTGCAGTGGGAAGGCCAGAGAGGGTTGGGGGGCAGAAGGGAGGGGAGTAAGAGATCAACC